TAATCAAACCCTAATCTTCCAACCTAGGGCCTTCAATGACTAATGCTTTATCATTCAAAGACATTCAGTGAATCTCAAAGAATCCTAACTTCTACAATGTTTCAAACTTCCAGGACAAGTATCTCTTCTGAGACTCAAGCCATTTTTTTCCTATAAGACCTAATACAGAAAAAAAAAACCTAAAAGTATGTACCTCCCACACCTAAAATCACATTGTATACATTTTTATTATAAGAATATAGTGAGGAAGGAATGTGATAAATCAAGAACAAGCTCTAGAAAGCGAAATAGTAAATCTAGCTCCAAGGTCAAGCATTTGGGCCTATTTGGGCAAGAAGTGAACTGTTCATTCACTCCAAAAGTTTGGGCAGCCCATTCTTTCGAGTTGCACCCCATGTGACCTCTCTGTTGGTCAAGCTCTGACCGCTTCCTCCCACTTTCCTTAGATGCTGCTCTGTATTCATGGCATCTGCAGCTTGCTAGGGTCTTGACTGTGTCAGCTTCATCCTAACAGCCTCACACATTACCTTCTGATCAGCTACCCACCATAGATTCTGACAATGGTACCCATTGTGAGATCTCTCTGATCTTTTAGAATTTATTTTGGAAGCTTCCTTGAAGCTGTGAATGAAATTTCCTGGAAAGAAGGAACATGTGACATTGACTATTTTACAGGATAATTAAATAATTAGAATTCAAAGATGTGGCATTGTTGGGATGCTGAAGTTCAAAGCCCAATTACAATTAATTTTGGACTATCTTTTAATAGTCCTTCCTTCCCCACCTTGTGACAATGAGAAAACCTTTTGAAATGTACTGACTAAGCAGTCTGCTTGCTTCCAAGAACTCAGAAGTTAAGGATGTCATCAGAGCATCTAAGGGTTATAGCTGAGGTTTCTGGACTTAACTGTAACCCATTACATTGAAGTTCCAGCAACATATTTGAAAAGAACCTTGACTTATGGCTTTCTTTGATCTTATAAAAAAAATCAAGAAATAGTTACCATGTTGGAAAATGCAATTTGGCTAACTGAATCTGTGATCTAAATCATGGTCACTCATAGCTGGCTCTAGAATAAGCTATAAACTGTCATTTATCTCCTTTGACATAAGGTCCTTATTTTCATTCTGTTAGTTAATTTGTTTGATTGATTGTTTGTTTGTTTGTTTGTTGTTGTTGTTTTGGTTAGTTGCGTTAACATTTATGGGACCTAAATGTGGACTCCCCAGAATGAATGAATCACTTCATGCTAGGAGAGTCGCTTAAATCAGAGGCAGGTACTAGCCAGACTATTGGTGTGCCCCTGTCCTCTGATGTGTGTTTTTTAGCTATTTCTGGATTTTAACTCTCCCTTGATTTGACCAACCATTTGTTTATTCTGAGCTTGTTTCAGAGAATTATGGTAATTCCTCAAGCTGTTGATGATTATATCATGGAGCCTATATCTCTATCCCTTACATTTACATCTTCTAGGTCAGTAGTTCTCGACCTGTGGGTCAAAACTCACCTTGCTAACCTCTATCACCAAAGATATTTGCATTACAATTCATAACAGAAGCAAAATTGCAGTTATGAAGTATCAATGAAAATAATTTTATGGCTAGGGTCATCGCAACATGAGGAACTGTGTTAAAGTGTCACAGTGTTAAGAAGGTGAGAACCACTAGGGGCTCTTTGGATCAATTATAATAAATAAATCATCTGACTGTAGTAGACTGGGATGCTAAATTTTCCTTTCAAGACTTAAAATCGATCTTTTCTTTGAAAGTTTTAATTGGGAAGTCTACTGCTTGTCTGATGGGCCTGCCTTTCTATGTGATTTGGTGTTTCTGTTTTGCTACCTTTAGCACACTTTCTGTTTCCTGTTTATCTAGTGTTTCATTATAATATGATGAGTCAAGATTCTTTCCCCATCTTATCTGTTTTATGAACTATATGCCTTCTGTATCTGTTGTATTTGTTTAACTCTGAGAAATATTGTGAATCTTCTGAAAAAATTTTTTAGGTATTTTATTTTTCATCTTTTTTTTAATTAGAAACTTCTTATTCATTTTACATACCAATCACAGATCTCCCTCTTTCCTCCTCCCACCCCTCCAGCATTCCCCCCAAACCTACCCCCTATGCCTTTAGATAGAGATTCTTTTTATAAGCCCAATAACCTCTACATTTGATACTTTCTAGCACATCGTAGGAGATTTCACATTTCTCCTTCTTTTACTTTTGTCCTTGTTGGATTTTTCTAATTCCTCTATTTTGTTTTTAAGCCAAGCTATCCTGTTCTCTCCTTGATTGATTCTGTTAATGAGACTTTCCATGGAGCTTTGTATTTGATTATGCTTTTTTTTCCTTTCCAGAATTTCAGGTTTGATTTTCTTCAATATTTCTCTTTTTTTTCAATTCTGCCTTTATTATCTTAAATCATTTTCCTCTCTCTATTCAGCTGTTCATATTCCTATTGAGGGGCTTATTTTCTTCTTGGACTTCTTTGAAATTACTTATAACCATTTTAATCATTCTTCTGAGTTCTCTGTCTGGGATTTCATCAAACTTAATTCTTACTGGATGCCATTACTGCAGGGCTAGTTAATTTTTGATGAATCATGTTTTTCCTTTTCCTTATATTACATAATTGGGATGTACGCATCTGGAGTTATTTCATTGCTTGCTTTATTGCTTGCTTGCTTTATTTATTTATTTATTTATTTATTTATTTATTTATTTATTTATTATTATGTTCTTTCAGCTGAAGTGTTTGCAGTATTAATGTGTGACCTAGATGTGATAGAACTGAGATATATACAAAATAAATAATATTATTTTGGGTGGAGACTGGAGGGATATTAAGAGCACTAGCTGTTCTTCCAGAAGACCCAAATTCCATTCCCAGCACTCACATGGTAGCTTAAAACCATCTGCAAATCCAGTTCCAGGGGCTCCAGCACCCTCTTTTGGCCTCCATGAAACCAGGGAAGCACATTGTACAAACAAGTACATGCATACATGCAAACAAAATACCCATACACATAAAATAATAAAATATTTTTCTTAGTAATTAGCATATAAATTTCTTTTTTATTAAGAAATTTTTTTCATTCATTTTACACACCAATCAAAGATCCCCCTGTTCCCTCCTCCCATCCCCCCAGGCTCCCCTCCCAACCCACCCTGTACTCTCACCCAAAAGAAGGCAAGGCCTCCCATGGGGAGGCACGTTCAGTAGAGGCAAGTCCAAGCCCTTCCTCCTGCCTCAAGGCTGCACACGAGTTGTCCCATCATAGGTAGTGGGCTCCACAAAGCCTGCTCATGCACCAGAGATGGATTCTGATCCTACCGCCAGGGGGCCTCCCAAGCAGATCAAGCTACACAACTCTCACCATGCAAAGGGCTGAGTCCAGTCCCATGCAGGCTCCACAGCCATTGATCCAACTTTCTTGAGTTCCCTCTAGTTTGGTTTGGTTGTCCCTGTGTGTTTCCCCATCATGATCCTGATGCACTTGCTCATAGAATCCCTCTCCTTTCTCTTTGGACTCAGAATAGACCCTATTGTAATTTAAGTCATTTTGTAAATATCTGTATATGATAGAAAATTGGAGTATTTGTTTTTGTGAGTCTGGCATAATTTTGTAATATGACAATTTCCAGTTTGACTAATTTTCTTGCAAATGATATAATTACATTTTTTTTATGACTGAGTAACACTTTGGTGTGTATATACACCACATTCCCTTTATTCATCTATTGATTGTAACTTTGGCTATTGTGAAAACTACCATAGTAAGCAGAAAGCATTCCAGCACATCAGTGTCTGCTGACTATGCTTTAATCAGGCATATATCTATTATTAATATCATAGGATTATATGGTAGATCTATTTTTAATTTTTTGAGAAATATCTGTATTGATTTCCATAATGGCTGTACTAGTTTATACTCTCTCAGCACCAGTGCTTAATGATAGCCCCTATAATCCTTACCAGGGTTAGAATTTTTTTATTTATTGATGACAAGCAATCTGACTGAGGCAACACAGAATTCTAATGAATCTTTTATTTGTCTTTTATTTATGGCTAAGGATGCTGAGGTTTTCCATGTATTTACTGGCCATTTGTACTTCCATCATTTAAGAAATTCTCTTCAGTAGCCACACTTAATTTGATGATTTGGGTTGTAGTGAATTATTTTTTAGATTTATTTAATCAATCTTACATGTTAAACTTCTCTAAGATATGATATGTAGTTTCTTTTTCTCTCATCCCAAGGGCTAGTCCTTTTCAAGCATTTACTTTGTTGTGCAAAAACGTTTAATTTCATGCAGTTCCATTTAGCTGTTCTTGCTATTAATTCCTTGGTTATTGAATCTGATAATCACTGGAATCAAAATATCAAAATACTGTAGATAGTCCTTGTGGATGCCTATGTACCAATGTGCTTTCTCTATGTTTTCATCTAGAAGTTTCAAAGTCTTAAGTTAATGTCTTTGAACCATTTTTAATTTGTTTTCTTTTGTCAAGGGTGAGAGATACAGATCTACATTTGTTCTTTTGTGTATATTCTTTTCGTTTTCTTTTTGAAAACTTCATGTGTCATCACTCCCTCCTTCCTCCGCCCAACTCCACTATCACTTAGTTATCCATGATCCTTTTTAAATTATATATGTACACATACATGTATGTATGTATGTATATGTGTTTGCTGGTATATATGAAAACATGTTTAAGCAACCTATCAAGTCAATTTATCATTGTTCATATGTACATGTATCCTTGGCTGACCATTTGGAACTAGAAAAATCAGGGAGAACCTTGTCCATATAGGAAACCATTTATTTGTCTCTCCATAGCCTTTGACTACTTATAGTTCTTTGGACCACATGGAATTTCACCAATCTATGTTGGCATGTCAACTGATGTTGTCATAATGCTGATTTTTCTCAGGTAACAATGTGGTTGACATTACATGGGTGCCTTTTCCATGTCATGTCTAGAGGACATTATCTAGCAGCAGATGTCTGAGCTTTGGGATTTTCTGATTTTTCTGTTCCTTTTAGGTATACTTTTCCCAGCACTATTTCTGGAGGAAGTTATCTTTTCTAAAGAGTGTGTTTTGGGCACCTTTGTAATGATCAGGTAGCTGTAGCTATGTGGGTTTATTTATAAGTCTTCTAGTCTATTAAATTTATCTACATATCTAGGTTTTGTTGGTACTAGGGTGTTTTTTGTTATGATGACTGTGTATCACGACTTGGATGGGTACTGTAATGTTACCTGCTTTTTTCTTACTACTCAGGATTACTTTGACCATTCAGGTTGGTATGTATTTTAGTTTTGTTTCATCTAGTTCTTTGAAGGATAGCCTTAGAATTGTGATGGAGATTAAATTGAATGTGCCAATCAACTTTAGTAATACATTTTTTCTAAGATTACTTTCTTTACTGTTCTATCATTTTTGTTATAGTTTTTTTCACCTCACAGATAGATATCACTAGTTTTTGTGGATGTTATTGTATATGAGGGTTTCATCCTGATTTCCTTCTCAAGTTTATTTATTGATTTATGAAAAGGCTACTGATATTTGCATATTGATTTTATCATGCTACTTGGTGCTGTTTATCATGTCCATGAAATTACTGCCGAGGTCTTTCCGTGTTTGATAGGTATTGTATCATATCACCTGCAAAACAATAATTTTACTCTTTACTTTGTTGTTTCTATCCATTGAGCATATTGGACAGCACTAGTTGGACTTAGTGAGTTATCAAAAAAGGCATAAAGTTGAGGGAGAGACAGACTGTGGGGAATAAAGTGTTATAATAAAGGGAGAAATGTGGTTAAATGTGATCATGTTTCTTTTTGAATAAATCTATGAAATTATCAAGAATAGGGAAAAGATCATTTTTTGATTATTTTTGAGATTGTAATATAACTACAACATTTCTCCTTCCCCTTTCTTCTTAAAATTCATGTTCTCTGCTCTCATTGTTATATGTGGCTATATACATACATATGTATATTCCTGGGTATATTATGATCAGTCTGTATAATCTTACTTGTATGTATGTTTTCAGGGCTTGTCATTTGGCACTGGTCAACCAGTTAGTGTGCTCTTTCTTAGGGAAGACGACTTCTTTGCTTTTAGCTTTCCTCGGGTGCTTATAGTTCTTGGTGTAGGGTTGAGTCCTCATCGTTTTGTTTTGTTTTCTATCTGCTATGGCACATCTACTAGTGTAGCACTTGTTCAGCTCACCTTTGGGCAGTCATGGTAGCAAGACATCATGGGCATAACTACTGACATTACTAGAGGAAAAAAATGCACAACCAAATTCCCTTGTCTTCTGGCTTGTAGAGTTTTCCTTCCTCACTTCTGCAATGTTCTCTGAGCCCTGGGTGCAAGACTGTTTTGTAGATACACTGTTTTGTGGACACACGGTGACTGGGCTTCAGAGTTCTGCATTTTGATTGATTTCTGTGGTTCTCTGTAGTGATCATTATCTGTTGCAAAGGGAATTTTTCTTGAAGACTATACTTATCTGTGGACACAGGGAGAAAACGTATTCTTAATCTGTTTACTCAACTACAGGGAAACCAGAAACACTCCGTTCTGAAGCAACTAATGGGATACAAACTCAGTTTTCAGAGGAAGGGGTTCAGGTATCATCTCTACATTTCTTTCCCAAGCAGCTATGAAGAAGTCAGTTCTCTTCAGAGATGCAGACTCTTCATATCTGAAAATGTGCTAATAGAATCTGTTATATGCCTCTTCCCTGAGTCGGGCGCAAGTATGGTACAAGAGCAAGGCAACCAGAATGCTCTTGTCAGAGTATACCAATCTAGAATCTGACCACCATACTCCATTTACACTAGTTGTTGCATAAACTTAAAAACCTTAATTCCATTCTGTAAAGCCCACTTGATCATCTAGAAATGTAGAATGGTAGAATAAATATGAGGTGTTCATAAAAACTATAACCTAGAGTGTGAAATATACAAAATAGAAATTAACCACTATTTTCAAAATTGAAATGCAGTCATTTGACATGCCGAGCACTGTGGGACTAGAAGGTTGTTTTAGACAAAGACACAAAGGAATTTGCATGTTAGGATGAATAGTATCAGGAATAGCACAAACTTTCAAATGGAGTATATACAGCTGCTTTGGTGAATCTACCCTACTCACCTCAGTCTAGAGTATGAGGTAATAGTCATGATCTACCATATTCTTCTTAGCCTATGATTCCTGATAGCATGGAGAAAATTGATCCCAGGTGATAAATATTAGCACAAAATATTAAATGGTTAACTTCAAGCTTTAGCTACAGAACACTGCTGTGCCATGCCCTTTAATTTTGCTTTACAGATAGGGTTATAGTGAAAACAATCAATGTTAACATCCCTCTGGCTAAAATGATTTTCCATACACATTAGGGATAATCCCCTTATGGGCCACCTAGCTAGTATATACTGGAATGTGAAAATATTGTAACAAATATCTGACTATGTCCTTCAATGTACTAGTCTTATAAATACTTCAAGCAAGAAAGTAAAGCAGCAACATATTAACTAAATACAGAGAAATTTCTTACTGTCCAAGCTAACCATTATCATAATACTCTGTCAGATGGCTCTGAGCGTTATGATACATGTGTCTCTGTGTTAGACATGGCACAGGTGGGTGAGGGGTTATGGTAAAGTAAGGCTCTGAGACACAGTGCTATGTAAGTATAGATTTTGTGTTCACACTCTGCCAAGAGAAAACGTGGCAGGAGGAGCCAGATGTTGGATTCGTCTCCTAGGGACCCCCAGTGTGCTTGACAGTAGCCCTCTGCATGCCCCTTGTGACAAATTTGGTACTTCTCAAGAGTATGCTCATCTTCTTGGAGCCTTGAGATCACATGTCAATTTTAGATAGTTTCTTGCAAATAAATGAATCCATGTGAGTCAATGTACCTTCCGTATTAATTCGAGACAATTCCTTTCTTCATACTTCACCATAAAACAGTTTTTAAAAGGTAAGTGAGGCTCCATGATGCATAAGAAATGTAGTGCATGACTCCTGTGTGAAATGTCTTGAAGAACTGTGCGGCATTTTAGAAATAGAATAGTACTCCACTTAAGCAGGACTCCATGAGCCATTTAATGATATTCAGAGTTCAGAGGTAAGAGCTCTGAGTACCAGCTCTGTTGTGTAGCTGAGCCAGTCATGCCGAGGATGGGCACAGGAGCTGTTTAACAGGTTTCACACGGTGGTTTTCCCAGGTGCATTCTGGTACCCACTTCCTTCGCCATCTTCCATGCTTACGTGTCAAGACCGATCACAAGATTCTCAACTCAGATTTTTCCACTCTGCTCAGCAATTCTAGAACATTTATTTTCTACAGTTTGGAAAATTCAGTCATGAACTTTCCTTGTTCTTGTCCCTCAACAACACTGGCATCAGACTAATAAGAAAGTAACTAGATCCTATAACACGGTTCCTCAAACTATATGCTAAAATTACATATAATCTCACATATCAATTTCAGTACACTTCTTCTGGGTAGGTTAGGTATTAATAAATTTCAAGGCTGGGCCTTAGTGGTTTTGTTAGAATTCATTCATGGAACTTCTACAGGAATGTTTACTTTGAACTATGTCTAATATAACTCTGTCACTGAAAGAAAGTGTATAGAATATCAGAATCCTCCTATATTTTTAATATTGATTCATGTTTATGACTCCTGGTCAATGTAGTAATCTCTCTACTGAAGGCAATTATCTGAACAGAAATCAGACTGATCATTGTTCAAGGACTTCCACAGAGCTAATGTGAAATATGGACTTCTATCTCAAACTGCCTGTGTCTAAAAGATAGGGAAGTATTAATCTTTAATGCAGATTGCTAACACACCCATGAAGATGCTGAAACTGGATCCATAAAAGCATGAACAGTGAGAGCCAGGGCTTATGACAGAGAGGAAAGGAGAATTCAGTATTGGTCTATCTCTGGAACACATCTGAGAAAGTTCCTATTCAAACCCCATCCCTCATATTTCAAAGCACTTGCTTGTGTATGAGCCCTGTTAGAAAGGATCGTCAAGTGAATGTACAGAGCATGTCTAATTCTCCCTTCATCATGTTGCTTCATACTCTAATTCTGATTAGCAAAGCCCTTAAATATGACCTTTCTATATGATGAATTTTTCTAGAAATGAAAATCATCAGCTCACAGTTATTAAATCCAGATACAATATTTTTCTTCTCATGGGGTTCTAGGTCCCTCAGTATCCACCTATCTACCAATACCAGGGTTTCCTTAAAATAAATAAAATAAGATTCCATGAAGTCAGGAATATATCTTGGCCCATGACTATTCTCTACCACCTAACCTCTTTATATCATCCTAAGAAGGGCCAGCTGCAGAGAAGGTCTACATTTCTACTGTTTTCACAACCCAGCCTCCTTTCAAGAATCAGCTGCTCTCCTTCTCTACACCAAGAAGAAAGCTTTCCTTATCACATGTTCCTCACCTACCTACAGAGTGGACAAATAGAGCAGAGATAATGTAAGACCCGGGAAGGGGAACTCACAGGTGTGCTGGTATAGGAGCAGTGGGGGCCCCCCTCAGCACCTCCTCCTCCCTCCAGAAGGGTATAAATTCAGGCTCTCCCCAAATGCTCACTCCCTTCTGCTACATGAGTGCACTCCTGTTTCTTGCCGTTGTGGACATTGCTCCTGAGTTCCACGCCTTAACCCAGGTCCTGCTCTTCTTCTCCTAGAGGCCATGAACCCCATCACTAAACCTGCTATTTTCCCTATCTGCACTCCAATATACTCTATTTTCCCTCAGATCTCTGCTTCTAGATTTTCTGGCTTCTCTGTAAGCTTGACTTTTCCTACCCCTTCTACTGTCATTTATTATGTGATCAAAGAGGCTAGAAATTGAAGGCACATGGAGGTTCCGTAAAATGAACCAGAAGGCCTCCGGCTTGGGCCCAAGAGCTTGGGGCTGTCTCAGCCATGGCTGTTTTTACAGACAAATACTTCCAATTTGAAATGTTCAAAACCCCATTATACTGGGAATTAATGTCTTAAAATTCTAACCATATGTGTCTGGAACAGTCACTTTGTATTAGAAATGACATTTCATATATACATATATATATATGTATACACACACACACACACATAACATAAACATCCAACCAAGTTTAAAAAAATCAGTGATCTTGGGCAATAACATTCCCTCCTGTGTCCTACATAAGGACTGCTCTCCATTTTGACCTTAATATACATACTTGAGCTGTAAAACATGTGAGTACATTGAGCTCTTACAAATGCGTGATATTTTCCAAGATAGTTCCAACTATGCTAATCTCCTTAAACTCTGTTAACCACAGGGTGTCTGAATGATAAACATGAGATCAAAGCAAGTAGTGGATCAGACAGCCATCCCTGTGCCCCGTTCCTGCGTGCTGAGAGTATCGTTGCCCAATCCCTTGTACCCCATCAGAATACTGTCACCTGCCGAGTATCTTGCTGCTGTCCCACAGTGCTCTGTATTATGGACAACCACAACACAACATATGCCCACTGCTACATTTTTGTCTTTGATTCTCGTACTTGATAAGGATACCTATTTAGCTTAAGGCTGGCACAGGGCTGAGGGCTCCAGTTTCCAGCACCCCGATGAATTGTCTTCTCTCTTCTTCTCTCTACTCAAGTTGCTTTCCCTTTTGATGATAAGATCGTTGGAGGATACACCTGCCAGAAGGATTCTGTCCCCTACCAGGTGTCCCTGAACTCTGGCTACCACTTCTGCGGAGGCTCCCTCACCAATGATCAATGGGTGGTGTCTGCAGCTCACTGCTACAAGAAGTAAGTGATGGGCGCTGGCTTTTCAGAACACATTTTTGGTGTTTCCAAGGGGATGGGATTAGATCAGGCATCAGCTGAGGTTTTCAGGTGAATGGGAAAAGTCAGAGAAGAGATTGCTGACTGCAACTTCTTTCCTGAGTTTGGAGAGAATAAGGATATAGAATGGGAAGATTTTCACACTGCAGAAACATCCAAAGTAAATCAAGGGTATGGATAACAAAAGCAAGGAAAGTTGATTTTAGGGTTGAAGGAACCAACATGAAGCACACAAAGATTTTTCACACAGTTACACTGAGTCCTATAACAGTGATATAAACACAGAGTTTTCGAGAGTGTGGACAATCTGTAAGCTTTTTTAAACTTCCTATTTTAATTCATTTCACTATATTGAGAAAACTGAGTGTCAATTTCTGTCCCAGAGGGTGTCTCACCTGAATATGCATCTGAATCATCTAGATTCTAATTCAAAAAGAAACCCAGAAAGCTAAAGTTCATAGCAAGATTTAAGATGACACAGCTGGATGGACAAAGTTATTTTCATCTATTTGTTCATTTGTTTTCTATGAAATAGGCTTTCTCTGTGCAGCCCTGACTGTCCTAGAACTCCCTCTGTAGACCAGGCAGAGGATTTAGTGTAGTTTATACTTTGCAAAGGCACAGAGGAAGAATGAAGCTATAGGAGCTGGCTTGCATCCAAAGGAGAGCACTAGGTTGATAAGCAGTCTCCAACTGCAGTCCTTCACCTCAGTCATATTACCTGTCTTTGAAGTAGAAAGGAATCGGTTCTCCCAGTGGTACTTGCACACCGCATGGCTGCTACATCTGTGATGTTAAACTAGGCCTCCTGCCCATTCCAAAGTTATTCAGCAAAAAGAGTTTAATAACTCTGGACTATCTGAGGTAATGGAGAGGAAGTGTCTAGCATGCCTCTCTTTCCAACAGCCGCATCCAAGTGAGGTTGGGAGAGCACAACATCAACATCCTTGAGGGCAATGAGCACTTTGTCACTGTTTCCAAGATCATCAAGCACCCCGACTTTGATGTGAAAACCCTGGAAAATGACATCATGCTGATCAAGCTCTCTTCCCCTGTGACCCTCAATGCCCGAGTGGCCACTGTAGCTCTGCCCACCTACTGTGCACCTGCTGGCACTCAGTGCCTCATCTCTGGCTGGGGTGATACCTTGAGCTTTGGTGGTAAGATACTTCATCTACTATTTCTACAGCTTTCCAGAGCTAAACTAGTTTCTAAACTTAAGTCATTGACTTGTAATCGGCAAGTACATTGCCACTACCCAGTACACACAGGGTTCCATGGTGGGTAGAAGAGAAATTTATGCACTGAATGATATGGTTCCCAGAATGTAAACAGGGTAGATAGAGAATGTGCTATTATTACTTCCAGGAAGGACATCAATAATGACTATTCTAGAATCAAAGTTACTTACTGGGTCTTAGTATCTTAAAGAATGCTCCAAGGCTCATCTAGTGGACAACACTGGGATGCTAATCCATAGCTGGTCAGAATCACATTTCTTTCTTTTCCTTTCCTCACAGTGAACCACCCAGACCTACTCCAGTGCCTGGATGCCCCACTACTGCCTCAGATTGACTGTGAAACCTCCTACCCTGGAAGGATCACCAATAACATGGTCTGCGCTGGCTTCCTTGAGGGAGGCAAAGATTCCTGCCAGGTAATTGGCTCCCTTCTCATATACAAAAAAACTTATTTTTCCAGGAGTGGGAGTGGAATGCCCAGGTGTATGGGTCATGATGTTTCCTGTAGTAGTTCCATGGGAAAGTGAAAAGGACTGTTCTGGGTGTCATCTCACACTTCAGTGAGAATAGAGGATAGGATAACAAATGGAGACACAGGGAGGCTAGAAAGGCATCTTCAGGTCAGAAAAATGTGGTCCTTATACATGCCCCTTCCTTACTAACTGTGTCCCTCCATCCTAGGGTGACTCTGGTGGCCCTGTGGTCTGCAATGGAGAGCTCCAGGGCATTGTGTCCTGGGGCTATGGCTGTGCCCTGAAGGACAACCCTGGTGTGTACACCAGGGTCTGCAACTATGTGGACTGGATTGCAAACACCATTGCTGATAACTAAGAATCCTTAATCCTTCTGAAGTCACTAAGTCAATAAAGTGAATTCCTTACTTTCTGTGTCTTGGTCTGATCTCTTTATCCTCTTGTGGGAAGTTCATACCCATTTGAGGTCATCTTTCTCTGTCCTTGAGAAGTGGAGAGCATCCTACACCTCTGAACATGTTGCATCTAATAGTAGGTCAATAGCAGTGTAAAGGAAAAGAAACACTGAAGTTAAATGGTAGAAGAAATACAGGTTTCCTTTTCTTTTAGAAAATCAGGTATCAGAATGTAGATATTTATAAACTTGCCTGAATTTTCTTTTGCATTTATGTGTGATTTCTAAATGAACACATTTATATTTTAGTAATAAATATCATGTATTTTAAATGAGAGTTTTTCTATTTGATTACAAGGTGTTCTAAAGGCATTAGCATATTCACCATTATGGATGGTAAGATTCTTACCCATAATGATTATTGTGGGAACATTTTGTCCTCAGAAAACTTACCTAGGGCATGTTCATATGTCCACAGGAATAGCTTTCCCCATATCTATTCCTCATATGCCTATAACATTTCCTTCCATTTATCCTTGATAAGACAATATGTATGCACAATTCTGAGAATTACATAGACATTTTCATGCTGAGGTTATTCTCCCCTATAGAGTGATTATTATTGGGATGGTAAAGCTAGAACAGATGTACTGAGGGTATTGGCTTAAAGCACCCTTTACCAAGCAGGTAATAAATAGGGGCATGCCTCCGCATATCCTTTGTGCTCACTATCCTGCTTTCCATTTGCTCCTGCAGCAACTCTGCTAAATATGAGGACAATTGTTCAGCATACACATTGTCTACGTAGATGCTGGGAAGCAGTATGGCAAAGGAAATCAACTCAGGCAATACACACCCAAGCATAAAACTTGCTTCTCTTTCCTTATCACTAGATATAACCTTAAACAAGCTCAATCATTTCTCTGCATGCTACATTATAACCTATAAAATCATAATTGTTTTGTTTTTGAAACAACATATTACTCTGAGTCTCAGGTTGCCCTTGAACTTTCAGTGGTCCCTCTGCCCCACTTTCTATGTGCTGGAGATGTGAACCACCTTGTCTGACTCTAATAATGATTCCTATATTAACAATTTATTTTTTCACAGAAATAAAAGAATTAAAATTTAGATCCATAAGGAGGAAGGGTTGATTTTCTCCGAGTCACCTTTTTATATGTTACTGATGGACATTTTCTCTCTACCTTTGCATACCCACTTTTTTTTCAAAATTATTTTCTGAAAGTTTTTTTTCAATTATTTTTTATTCTTTTTTTTCCATCACAGGCAATTTATTTTGTTCTATTCATTCACAGTTAATACAGAAAATACTTGGAAACATTTCCATATAATGTTTGACACAGAAATCATCAAATAGAAGTATACAATGTTGACAGGAGGCAGTACATTTATA